TCCTAAATACATTTCAAATCTTTGTTTTCAGTAAAACATCATATTTTATTTGTTATTTTCTCTACCCTAACTCTTTATAAGGTTGGTCAATTTGACCGACCTCGTAATCATTAAAAAAAAAATCGAAATAAACCTAAATTACCCTTTCTTTCTAGAATTACTTCAAATTGTATCATGAAACTACAAACAATATACATCTATTTATTTTTAAATTTTATTGCCCTTTAAACCATGTCTAACTACTTCTATTCATGCCATTATAAGTTATAAATCACTTGGGCAACGTAGAGCTCACATTACCTTATCGAATTACATTACCCACTAGCTACTCCAAGTTGCTCACATGTGTGCCTCATGAAGCATTTTTTATTATATTATTAATTTTACATAACCAAACCTAAAAATATCCCTAATTTTACATTTTAGTTACTTTTATAATAATAAATAAAGAATAAACAAGAAATAAATTACTTTCCTGGGTTTTCTTTTTTTTGCTGTCGACTTAACCCTACTTTTTTTATACTAATGGTTGTAATGCACTAAATAATTATTATTTAATTAAATAATGCACCAAAGGACATAGAATAATAACATGTAAAAAACACACAATTTTTCTGGTTTTCTAATTATGTGACAAGAGCCGTCACAACTTTATCCAAGCTGGTCATTATCTTTCCAGTGGGAACGGAGCTTGAACTAACAAAGTGACATTTCTCTTTTCAGAAAACAATGTAATATAGTACGTTATTTGGTAGATGAGAAACTTGATTAATAAATTAATAAATTCTTATTAATAAATAATACTTTTTAATTCAAACGGTACTCGGAATGAAATCCTTAATTAGTTTTTGATCTTCTTGAGACAAAAATAGTATTACAATAATGAAACCACTAAGATCATTTTATAGCTCGTGCTGTATATGTTTACTGGTTTATTTCTACTTAAAGTGTGCTTCTCAAATAGGTGGGAGATGCGGAGAGACCACAGAGGCCGAACGTATTATGTTGATCACAACACCCGGACGACAACCTGGCAGAGACCTACCCTTGAAAGTGTGCGCAATTATGAGCAGTGGCAGTCCCATCAAGCCCAAGCTATGCAGCAGTGCCAGCAGAGATTTCTCTACCATGTAAATATCAACCGAGTCATTACTAAAACTTTAAAACATTTTTTAAACTTGCATAAGTCACATAAAACTGGGTCGTAGCAACAGATTTGGTTCTGTTTTCATTTGTCACTAAAAAAAAATGTACTTAGTAAATTACTATTGTGATTTTTTTGTTTTGTGAAAGGTAAAAGAACATATGGTTATTAGTTTTATTTAAATTTTTGCATCTTTATATTTTTATTGGTGTTTCCCAGCATCTTAATTGTTTAAATGAAAAACATAGCATTCAGAAGCAAGTAGAATCACTTGAGATTTTTAATTCCATTTAGAAACTGAGGTTTTATTTTAAATATATTTTATTGCACTCTTTATCTCAAGCTAAAAAGTTATTATGAAAAATACATTTCATTCAACGTAATGGAAATTCTCAGAAATAAAAAGGGCTGGATGTGGTCAGTGCAGGATCTTAGGTGCTCAAGCTTTAAGCTTGCAATGTGTGACTGAGCACACTTCACATTTTCAGCTGTTTGTATGATTATAAAATTGATATCCAATCTCACTGTTCAGTTAAGAGTAGCCATGAGGTAATAGGTGCTGATGAGTGGCTGCCCTCCCTCCCTCTGGTCAACAGTTGAAAATAAAGGATGCCTACACAGCATCAATACAGTGGACTTGAAGTATGAAATATCACAGCTTTTAACCAACTCTCATTGATAATTCATGTAATCTTGCACTGAAGACATATATTTGTGTGTGTATATATATAAACACCACCTTTGTGATAAATTTTACTTGTTATCTCAGAATTTCACAGTTGAATTTGTATTCACGATATTTCAAAAGCACGCATTAAAAGTCTGTACATCTAGAAAGGGAACCTTTATTACAAGTCTCACAAAAAATGGGGTGGGCAGGTCCTAAAGAAATTATGCATACAACACTGATATTCAGGATTCCAGAAAGTTTTAAAGATTTGTTTTTGGCTAATTAATCAGTTTTGTTAAGTTCTGAAGAAAAAAAAGGTAATTTTTTTTTAACTAGTCTAAATAAGTTAGAGATTACCCAGTTTTTAAAAGCTTGTATTACTGTGCGATTATGATGTAAAGGTTCAGGCCTTCCATCTTTTTCTGTTACAGACACCTGTGCATGTTGAAGATGATGATCCTCTTGGACCTTTACCTGAAGGTTGGGGTAAGTATTTTTTTTACACTGGGCATCATTTACTGCACATGTCACAAGGTTTTTAGTGACTTACATTTAAATCTAATTAAACTACTCTTTGTATATGTTATACCAATCAGTATAGCACAAAATCGTAGCTAATAATCCATATTTTAATAGTATATAAGTTTTAAGTTCTTAATTTTATAAGGAAATATTTTTAAAAATCCTCAATTTCCCCTAGTGTGAAAAATGTGACATATTTCCTCTAGGTATTCCCTCTTCTCTAGTTTATTCATCACTTCTCCAATAAGTACGAAATTTAATGTAAATTACTCACTATATAATTGTCATTGCTCAGACAAACCATAATTTTTGTAACCTTCAATCTTTTTTGGTTACAGAGCCATCAAATAGAAAATCAGACCCCCTCTTGCAACACCCACTCTTTCAGAATTTGTTAAAGTTCTCTATTACTCTTAATACTATCTTATGTATAACCAACAGAAAGTTTTTATTAATGATGTTATTTAAATTTTCATTAAATAATAAATGATCCCTCACATTAAGTGAAATAATTTGCTAACTGCACTGCCACTTGTTGATGCAAAAAAGAAAACCTCTGGTTGGTCCCTGACATACCTCAATGTTAGCAGTATTTTACAATAAACTGGTGACAGAATATCCAATGAACTTGAAATACTTTTTCTATACACTACAAATAATGACACCTCCCCCCCCCTCAAAGACCCTTTCTCATTTTTTATATTGATACTTTATATTTTTTAATGAATTATTATAGGTTTATTGTTCTCTTTCCCATACTATTCAGAGTTGTTTGAAAGAAAGAAAGAAAGAA